AATGTATTGGGTTTGAATGGTTGCTAGGAAAAATATAGTAAGTAATGTCGTCGAGGCGGCGTGCCAGAGGAAATAACAAGAAATCGGCAAGTAGAATTAGCTAGATACATATTTAAATTAGTAGCGACATAGTGTCCTGCTATTTTAAGGTGAGTAGGGAGTATCCATTTTAAAATTTTTTATGATTATGTATATATATAAATAGGTGTTGATTTATTGAAATGAAAAATTGTGGAAAGCATGAGTTGGTAGAAATGTTAGGAAATTGTGAATGTTGTGATTCTGAAAATGGCTTTGAAAGTATATAAGCTATATACATATATAAATATACGTAAAGGTTCTTGAAATTGGGAAACAAGTTTTTCTTTATGATTTAGGTCAAATATGTGCCTTATGGTTTGTGTAATATGCATTCATGATAGAAACATATACTCACCATGCTAAATGATCTTTCAATCTCATGTAACAAGTTATATTTTATAGTCTTACAAGGGATTTCATCATGTACTACATGAACATTTTGACAATGAGTTTTGAAATGAATTTTGAGGACCAACTATATTTTAAAAGGGTTTTATTAAACCGAGAGATTTGAGAGCAGGCCGGTTGTCACTCCGGTTAAGTGTGACCCTTGTGCACAAGTGAGCTCTAGCTAGAAAATCTTTGAGTCGCTGACAAGCTGTTAGACATGACTGGGGCCAGGGTCTATGATTTTACGTGGCTAGGCCACAAGTTGTTATACGCGGTTGCGACCGCCTGATTTCTCCGATGTCGGCTAACATTGTTGAGACTATCATGGCATGTGGGGATCCGGTGGAGCGGAGCTCCCGGATGTTATTGAGTGGAAGCGGGTCCACATGCTTGCATTTTTATACCTATTCGAGAGTGATATCTCTTTAGGTTTTATTCACATAAGTAATTTTCTCATGGTGAAAAGTAATAGTTTTTCTGTTGTTCCCTTGCTTAGATGATGAAATTCAATTTAATTCCCTGTGTATGGGGTGAATTATGAAATTTACGTGTAAACTTTATGAAATGTTGGATTTTTACGGGATCATGCATGATAACATTTAATTACTTTAAACCCTATATTAAATGATTATTTAGCATAAATTCACTTATTTACATATAAAGCACAAATTTCCCTTTTGAGTAAATTGTTTACATATACTCTTATATTTTTAAAATTTTCAAATTTTTTACCTTTAGCTTGTTTCCCATCTACGCCCTACTCACGGAGTCGATGATCACTGAGTCTGTGAGACTCACCCCTTCATATTTTTTTTTTTGCAAATAAGTAATCAATTCTAGAGTTTTGCTCAACATCGCAAGGCTGGCTACAACCTAGGTAATGGCATCTCTGGACTTCTACCCTGGGTCGCTTCACTGCCTAGAGGTCGATTTATATGTCAAATAGTCTGGCTTGTAAGAATCAACAGTCACTGAAAGTGAAATGGCTAGAGGTTAAGGTTATGTAATAATGACTACATATTATGATGAGTTGTATGGAGTTATCAAACCTAGATGTTTGTATCCAATGGCTATGATTTAAATATTATGAATATTTGGTTTGGACAACTTATAGTGTTAATATTTTAAGTTGAGCTTAAGTTGTTTGAAGATTTAATTAAGGCTTGTTTGGGACTTGGCGAGTTGACTCGCAAGTCTTGAACACCGGTAGCGATCGAGGGAAGAGGTCATCACATCCACACATCTCACGAACTACAAATAATTTTTGAATTTCATAAACTCCCAATGTGTCAAGCTTCTTGGACAGTGCAGCTACTGGAACAGTTAAGGTGCTAAGTGCATCAATTCATAAGCTCCGACAGCTTTTCTTGAACTTGACCTTTCTGAAGGTCATTGATAATTATTGGAGGCCATCTCTTCCAACAAATTATAGGCATCTATAGCATTCTTGCTCATTAATGCCCCACCACCACCAGCATCAATTGTGGTTTTTATTGACCCAACCAACCCATTGTAGAATGTCTGAACTTGCAACCAATCAGGAATCCCATGATGTGGACATCTTCTCAGTAGTTCTTTAAACTTCTCCTAGGCTTCATACAAGGACTCACCATTATATTGTGTGAAAGAGGTGATATCGTTCCTCATCTTTATAGTCTCGGCAGGTGAAAAAAAATTTCTAGAAACCTTTGTGCCAAGTCCTCCCATGTAGTGATAGACCCATTAGGTAGTGAATTAAGCCAACTTTTTGCTTTATCTCTCAGAGAAAATAGAAATAGTCTTAATCTAATAGCATCATCAGTTACTTCATTATACTTGAAGGTATCGCAAATCTCCAAGAAATTTACCAAATGAGAATTACGATCATCACTAAGTAACCCACTAAACTTGACTGAAGACTGAATCATCTGAATGTAAGCTGGTTTAATTTCAAAATTATTCGCATTGATAGAAGGTCTCCTAATGCTTTGGTGCAAACCTTGCAAAAGAGGAACATCATAATCCCATAATGCTCTATTTCCTTCGAGAACCAAATTAATGGCATTATTGCCATTGTTATTGCTATCCTCAGCCATTGTCTGATTTAA